AAATCGGCTACGCAGGCAATTATTTTGCACCGACAGTACTATTAAAAAAACAAATTAATTAATTTTTGCGTTTTTATTAACGTAATTCTTTTAAACAAAAACAGTAATTTAATTACTCTTTCGCGCACAGGCGTTATTTTAGTTGCTTAAAGTTATAACGCAATTATGAATAATTTTTAACAACAGGAAACCGTGTTAAAATTCGTTTTTTGTACGATAGACCAGTTTTTTTGTTGTCAGCCTAATCTTTACCCATTATATTACACCTGTTTTAAATTTCATAAAAATCCCTTCAAAAATACCTGAGTTATTGCGCCCGAAAGTGTTACGTGGGACACCCGGTATATCGTTTATAAAATTTGATGCTACAAATTTCTTGGAAAAGCTGTGGTTCGAAAAGGGCTGTAAAACAAATTAACTCTGGGAGTCCATAAAATTCTTAAAATTCTAGACAAACTTCGATTTTTCATTTATAAATTAGTATTGCTGGCTCTAAGCTCTTAATCACCTTACCTGGTGTACCGGGGGATAATTTGAACCTAAACCTTTTGTTATTCAGGAATAGCTTGTCCGTTTTTATGTCTCTGACATACTGATTTTCAGGGGTAACTATAAACATACAATAGGATTTTTATGGTAAATAAATTTAGATAATAGATAGTCCTGAACTGGACGGTAGGTAAACAAATTTTAAAAGACGGTTAATTACTTTGAAATCGTGCAGAAGTTATTGTAGGCAAGGTAAATTTTTAATCAAAGTACATATAGTGAACCAAGAGCTATAAGGTTATATGGCCATCATAAAATCATCCCATTGTGTCGAAGGTAAGTTGTTTACAATAGAAAAGGTTTTAGGGTCGTAAATAACGTGTCCACTGCAGCTCGACCGACTCTTGTGGTTTCGTTCAGGGGCGGCTTTCACTAAATATGAAAATCCACTACTCCACTATTTCTTTACTACCTGCAGCCGCTGAGGATTCCCAAATAACCACTCGCTTTGAAAGCCGACCCTGTTTAATATGAGCAAGAAATGTTTAGAAGATGATTTATTGCCAACCGGTAAGCTTAGTGCTAACCACACAAAGGGGGTATTTATTTGCGGTCAACTACTTTTATGATGGCCATATAACCTTATAGTTCTTGGTTCACTATATATCTGTTTATTCACCCCAAAAAATTGATGTCAGTTCAATATTTTTCCGAACAAATTCTACCTAAAATGTGCAAATACGATGAGTTTTGACTTGTGTTTAAACATTGCATTCATATTTTTTAAATTTGCTTATGCAAGTGGCTCAAAAAAAACAACGAACCAATTTATTTTATTGATCAAACTATTATTAGGATTACACGGCACCAACGCAAGTTAATAAATGTGTCCTTACAAAAATAGTGATGACGTCATTGCACTTATTTTACATACATATATTTATTCCAGTTTATAGAGATTTTCATAAAAACATAAAATTCGGAAAATCAAATTTAATAATTTTTCAAAAATGCTGTATATGTTCCATTGTATGTATTTCAGGGACGAGGGAAATTCTGTCGAAACAACCTTCCGACAATTCTTTATGGAAGGTGAACAAATCTCAGGGGTCCCTTGCATGTATTGTTTATGAATCTCAAAATCTTAAGGAATCTCATAAGCCCATTGCGTCATTATTTTTAATAATTTGAAAAAAAATCTCAGGGGCAGCTAGTGTGTGTATTTTCAAAGATTTTTTGATAGTCTCAGGGGCTCCCTTTATTTATTTTTTTAGAGCTTAATAAATCTCAGGCGCCCCTTTGTCATTTTTTATAGAACGCGGAAGAATATCTATATTCCTTGTATGCTTTTTTTTTTAAGAATTTTAAAAAATCTCAAGTCCCCTTTGATCCTTGTTTGTCTTTTAAAAAATGTGAAAGCATATGCCAAGGAATATGAACAACTAAGCTTAAATACATCATTTACAAAAACAAAACAACTGAAAACACGATAATGCACATCTGATTCATAGAAATTTCGTTCTTTTCTGTGAAGCAATCGGGGGGTCAGGATTATAAATTATCATTATCATAGTCCAAAGCAACTGAAGGTTTCCAATAAAAACTTCAAACAAGAAGTCATGTTAATTATCAAATAGGTCAATACAGTGTTTCTAAAGATACTTGGAAACAGATGTAAATTATCAAATAAGTTAATACAGAATTTCTAAAGATAATAATTAGAAGCAGAGTTAATCACTTTGTGACTGTCATTAGTACACCTGCACATCCACCACCCTCCTTCTACAAGCCCTATAAATACAAAAAAAATTGAACATCGCATTCACAGGTTCATTCGTCGGTCGTCGAGAATACATCTCCTGCCAACCCATATTTTTTTTTTACCTAGTTATATACTTAGATATAGTTTTTTGTAAATAAATGGGCAAAAACAAAAAAAAGTTTCTCTTCTCTTCCACATTAATTTATTTTAATTGCAATGGTCGGAACTGCGAAAAGTTAGGATTATACTTAGTAAAGATAACGAACAAGTTATTGTTATTATGATATTTCAAGATCAAAGACGTACGAGGAACAAAGAACGCCTAGGATAAATAAAATAAATACTGCAACACAAAGGAGTGAAAAAAATTAAATTCAATAATTTTTAATATTTAAGAGGTTTTTAACAACAACTTGTATCAAATTTTTCAGTTTTGTTGGTATGTATTGAACAACTAGTGAATTTAAGTTCTTCTCAATAGTTCCAATTTTGTTACTTCCCGAGCGTAAGCAAAGGAAGTATTGTAATCGAGACCGTCGGCCGACTCTATACTTTTGCATTTTCTCAACCTATCATGACCCCTAGAAGACGAAGAAATAGGTCTCCCGTTTCCTTCTGTCTGTCTCTATCTTTCTGTCCGTCTGTCCGTCTGTCTGCCGTCCCGGATTTGTGTTAGACAGATAATCTCCGAATGTACTGTGCCGATTGTTGTCAAATTTTGTGTTTATGTTAGGAATATCATGTAGATGGTAAAACGCGAACCAAAATTTGTCTAATCATCCGTACCACCAATATGATGAAAACTGGACATAGTAAAGGGGTTTTAAATTGTATAAAATAACATAGTCCTACACGTGTAATTTGTGACCCCGAATTGAGATTTTACCAGATTGTTTGGAAAAAAATCAAAATTATGAAACAACATTTTCCAATTTAATTTCGAATCTGCAAAACCGAATGCTTTGAAATCTTGCGGATGGTTTACAGTTATGATAAGCATGATAATTTTTTTAATTAAAATATACATACTTATCCCCTCCAAAAAATTGATGACGTCAGCTCAAAAGTTTGCCGAATAAATCCTATCTAAAACGTAGAAAATATGATGAGTCTGTACTTGTAATTTATCATTCCATTAATATTTTTTGGATTGGCATGCTCACTTTGCTGCGGCGCCGAGGTCCCTCATCGAGCAACCCTAGACTGTCCAAAATAAGGACTTCTTTGTCGCCGCTGCTACCAAAATATCCAGGAGTTGTGGGAAGAATGCTAGGGGATCGGACGTCACTAACTGTTGCCAATTATAGAAAAATCGTATGATCTCTGGTGTTTGCTTTATGATAAAATGTTTGTTTACTTAATTATGTACTTAGATATAGTTTTTTGTAAATAAATGGATAAAAACAAAAAAAAAAATTCTCTTCCACATTCGTTTATTTTAATTGCCATGCTCAGAATTGCCAAAAGTTTAGGGTTATAGTAAAGTTTTTGTTAGTATAATATATAATGATCAAAGACGTAGGTAAGTAACGCAATTTTTTCTCTTTTCAGACATAATCAATATTAAACTTCTTCTCGGTTTTTGAAAACCCGAAAATTAAATTTTTTATCAATATAATTGTTTTTGTATGATAATTCACAATTCCATAGAAAATGGAGAAAATGTATTAATTCGAGAGAAGGCAGGTTCAAAGATTTCGCGTAAGTAACGCAAACTTTTAATTAAATTTTGTTTAAATTAAATATGACTTTAGTAAAATCAAATTATTAAGAAAAAAGAGAAAACAAATCTCTACGATTAGGTTAAAAAACGAAAGTGTAAAAACACTTATGAGGACAGTTTAAAATAAATAAACTTTGCAGAGTCCCGTACGATTTTAGTCTAAATAATGTTGGAATTGCCCATATATAGAAGATTAAAAAATGGGGGTTGGTGGTAGAAAGGTGAAAATTTAAAGTTATATGTATTTTTTTATGCCAAATCTTAAAAAAATAAAAAAAAAATTTTGTTTAAAAAATAGACAAAATTTTTTTAGGGTGGGCCACCCTTATCACTTAGGGGTATAAAAAGTAGTTTACAACCTATTCTCAGACCTACCGAATATACATAAAAAATTTCATATAAATCGGTAAACCCATTTCGGAGAAGTTCGGTTACAAACACTGTGACGCGAGAATTTTATACATAATAGAAAAGTGTTGTTTTTAGACTTTTTCAGGCAATTTTTTAAGTTTTTCTCTCCGTAAGAACCATCCTCGTACTTTAACGAATATTTGAAATCAAAAATTAGCCGAATCGGTTAAGTCGTTCTCGAGTTATGCGCTTAGCAACACATTTAGCCATCCATTTTTATTTATATAGATAGATAGATAGATAGATAGATAGATAGATAGATAGATAGATAGATAGATAGATAGATAGATAGATAGATAGATAGATAGATAACCTAACGAAAAAAGTTCAGGGAATTTTTATTTTTCTGCATCGAATACCAACAAACTCACTAGATTTCCATGGCCAACCCTACTATATAAATATCGTGAACCGATAATACGAACATGTTGACGTTATCTCAAAATATTTTGAATTGTTTTGAATTTTATTTAATTTAATGTAATTCATAGATGCGTAATACAAGATTCGAAGTCAACTGCTTCTGTAAGATTTCAACTGTGAGATCTCGCAGTTTCGTAAGTTGGTTGTGTGTATTGTGTGTTGCATATTCCCATGCTGGCTTTTTGAGGTTATGTTGATAAAAATAACATCAAAAAATTAGGAAGAATGAATTTAATATTTCTGTTTTTAGCAACAGAACCAAAATGTTTGTGCAATGTTTCAACTGTGAAACTTCCTACATCAAACCTTACCGTTGCAATCACTGCAACTTCCAAACACAATTAAGAGTCCTTTTGAAACAACACTTCAAAAACCGTCATCTTATCAGCAGAAAAAACGAACATCCTCCAATTTCTCCGGAAATTATCATTCAGAACAATATTTGTGAAAAGTGCGGCTTTGGAACCCACTTTTCAATGAAATGGTTTCAACACGCTGCAACCTGTTTACAAAATCCAGAAAAGCTTTCACCGACTGACCCCACCAGCGACGTTTCCACATGTACTCAATGGAGGCGCAAGTATAACTCCAAGCACAACTTAAACAATCACGATTTTTTAGCACGATTGTTCCAATGTGCACTCTGTACATACCGAACTAAAAACAAGCAATCCTTGACACACCACATAAACGTGGTCCATTTGGATGAAAAATACCTCACAGGGTACAAATGTGACCAATGCCCATATAAAACCACACAAAAGGCAAATTTAAGAAGACACATAAAGGCACACCATGTGGATGAATGTGAAATCAAATGGCACCACTGCAGTGTGTGTTCTTTCAGGAGCAAAGAGAAAGGCAATTTGAAAGCTCACATTAATGCACTGCATCTGGACGACTGGAGCGCGAAATGGTATGAATGCAAAAATTGTCCATTCAGAACTAAACATGGTTCGAATTTAATAATTCATGTGAAGATGCGCCATTTGGATGAGGGAAGTATCAAGTGGTATAAGTGCGAGGAGTGTCGGTATAAATCAAAACAGAAGACGAAGTTACAGAGACACGTGTCTGCGCGTCATTTGGATGAACGGGAGGTTAAATGGTTTGAATGTGAAACGTGTTCGTTTAGGAGTAAACGAATTTCGTGTTTGGCGCAGCACGTAAAGTTTAATCATTCTGATGAAGGGGGTCTTAAGTGGTATGAATGCGAAAAGTGTCCATATAAAGCTAAATATCATGAGCATCTAAAGTGTCACATAAGTGCGAATCATTTGTCAGTTCGAGATGTTAAAACTGTATGATTGTGGCGAATATCCAGGGAGAACTTGCTTTTCGCATTATATTAACGCACAAAGTGTAAAAAATGTGTTATTAAATACGATTCAATAATTTTGTTGTTGATTTATTTAAATTTAAATTAGAAAAGATTTGGTGCTACCCAAATTGGGTAATAATGAATTAGTAAATAAAAAAATGGGCGAAGGTTATCACAAAAATCGTAAAATCGAGAATTGAAAAATCTAAAATTAAAAAAAAAACCGAACTATTGAAAAACTGTAAAATGAAAAAAGTGGGAAATCGAGAAAATTAAAAATCTAAAATATAAAAAGTCGAAAAATTGAAAAAGCGACAAGGCGAAAAGTCGAGAGAAATCGAAAAATGTAGAAATCGAAACATTAAAAAATTAAAAAGTTTAAAATTTAACAAAATCGAAACATGGAAAAACCGAATTAGACCGAAAAACTGAAGAATCTAAAAATTGATTTGTCAAAAAAATAAGAAACTGAGAACTTAAAAAAATTAAATTTGAAACACTGAAAAATCGAAAATCAAAAATTTTTAAAATCGGAAAATGGAAAGTTAAGAACCGAGACATCAGTGTCAAAAAATCGGCAAATTAATAAATTGAAAAATCGAAACATCACAAAAACGAAAGTTGAAAAATGTAGAATTTAAAAAATTGAAAAATTATTATTATTATTAAGACCCACCACTGACCCGGAAATGACCGGCATTCAGGCAAGACTTCTATCATTACGGGTACTAAGACCAAGTAATGATATGCATTGATTAGATTAACAGAACAACTTTCGAGATTCTAGAATTACAGCATACAAATTAGTCTGCTATTATTCTCTAATCTCACTTCTTTTATAAAGACCCACCACTGACCCGGAAATGACCGGCATTCAGGCAAGACTTCTATCATTACGGGTACTAAGACCAAGTAATGATATGCATTGGTTATGTGGCGGCACAATAACACGCGGGTAAAGCAGAGTAAAGATAAGTTGTCTTGTGGTGTAGCGGTTAGCATACCAGCCCGGATTGCTTGGAGACGTGGGTTCGAATCCCACCGAGGCACAACATTTTTCTCTGCTTTCCCACCGAGGCACAACATTTTTCTCTGCTTTCCCACAGTTAGATTAACAGAACAACTTTCGAGATTCTAGAATTACAGCATACAAATTAGTCTGCTATTATTCTCTAATCTCACCCCATCCCCAAAAGTCTAGCGCAACTACCGACCTTTTATCCGCGCATCACTTGGAAAATGACCTTGACTACTCTGACCTACTGGTGCTAATCTAATCTGACTGACATGATCAGACTGTTCAAGAAACTTACGAACAATATGACATGTTTCTAACAAAACAGCTTTTTGAATTTTGATAATTATTGAATCATTCAAATGCAAAGACTTTAAATTCTCAACTAAGCTATTTGGAACTACACCTACATTAGAGATAACTAGGGGTAGAATTGAAATTTTTTTAAGATTCAACATGGATTTCATTTCTATCGATAATTGTAGATATTTTGAAATCTTGGTGTGGTATGTTTGAATAATGTTGTTTGTGTTAGGAACAGCAATGTCAATGAGAATGGCTTCGTTCGTGTGTTTTTTGATAAGTATGATGTCTGGTCTGTTAGCTGTAATGTTTAAGTCTGTAAGTATTGTGCGATCCCAGTATAATTTGTATTTGTTATTTTCAAGGAACGGAGATGGAATGTAAGTGTAATAGGGTGTCGTATCTTCGATTAAGTTCATAAGTGTTGCTAATTCTTTGTGGATGATTTTGGGCGACGTTGTCGTGTCTAGCTTTGTAGTCAGTTTGTGCTAGGCTGCTGCAGGAAGAGATTATGTGGTGGATCGTTTCAGGTTTTGCTTTGCAGAGGCGACAGCAGTCGTTTCTTATATTCGGATCTTTGATGATGTATTTTCTGTAATTCTTGGCATTGATTACTTGGTCTTGAATAGCAAACACAAATCCTTCTGTTTCGGCATACAAACTTGATTTTTTTAACCAAATCAATGACATCTTCTTATTGACATGAGTTTCTTCTAAGTCTTTGTAGAATTTTCCATGTAGTTGTTTTTGTTTTAGCCCACATATTATTTTGTCTATTGTGTGGGGGGTGTGGATTTATTCGGTGTTCGACACATTTAAGGGTGTGGTTCAAATCTGCTCTTGTGATGGTGCGAAACATTTCATTTCTTTCCGCTCGTTTCGAGAAATACTTCTTCAAATTTGAGATTTGTCTCTGATATAAGTTTTCTAGGTTCTGGAAACCCCTTCCTCCATTCTGTCTTGGTAATGAGAATCTTTCAATGGACGATTTTGGATGATGCCTTCTATATTGTGTGAAAATTTTCCTTGTTGCGATGTTTAAATTTTCATGATCAGTTTTGGACCATTTAATGACTCCAAAAGAATATGTTAGCAGTGGAACGCAGAATGTATTTACCGCTTTCATTAAATTTTTTCCATTTAACTGTGTCTTCAATATTAATTTTAATCTCGCTAGGTATTGATCTTTCAACTGTGTTTTCGTTTTGGTATGATTGATGTGGGAGGATTGACAGAAACCCAGATATTTGTATGTATCATTTCGTTCTTGGGCTTCGATTATTTCCTTATTCTGGGTTATATGTGGTACTTGGTGTTGGACGCCTTTTCTGATTGCTTGGGTCTTACATTTCTCAATACCAAAAGACATACCAATATCACCGGAAAATTGTTCAGTCAGATTTAGTAGGTTTGTTAACTGATTTTGTGTACTTGCATATATTTTTATGTCATCCATATGTACAGCAAGTGACTTATTCTGTTTTCTCTTTGTTTGTTAATTCTTATATTGAACCCATAATTGCAACTGTTCAGGATATCGGAGAGGGGATTTATTGCTAAGCAGAACCATAACGGGCTAAGAGAATCGCCTTGAAAAATTCCTCTTCGGATCATTATTGGGTCTTATTATTAAGACTCACCACTGACCCGGAAATGACCGGCATTCAGGCAAGACTTCTATCATTACGGGTACTAAGACCAAGTAATGATATGCATTGATTATTATTATTATTATATATATGATACAGCTAATATTATAAATATTAATAATATTAATAATAACATACAGTTTTGCTGTACAAAGCGACTGAGAACTATTACAGTTATAGGAGAAGTAACAGATTTCAAGGCGTTGAGAAAACAGACCCATCAACTGGATTTGGAATCATATCTCTCAGCTGTATCGATTTACGAAAACTGGAATTTGTTTAAGACAACTTTATTGAACGCCTCCGCACAATGATACCTCTAATACTATTATTTCTAAAAGATCGGCCTCGAAACCGTGGATCAATAACAAAATTCTAGGTTTGGTATGTGAAAAAAGACAGCTGTGGCACATCTTCAAAGAACAGGTTCCGAATCCAGCTACAAAGCCTATAGAGAGTTTTCAAGTCACCTTTCGTGTATTATTAGGGAAACTACATTTGTATACGAACAACGTATAGCGGAAAACAAAAATCCAAAATCTTCAAACATATTCGTACCAAACTATCTGGACCAATTAAATCACTTCAATTCAAAGATGATTCCGGTGTAACAGTACACGAAAACGACAATGTTACGAATATATTTGCACTATTTGCAGACACATTTGCCAGAGGGGTCATAGTAGAATCTCTTCTAAAGGATTTAAGTTTGTCCAGCAAGTATAACCCGAACTGTATTGAAAACCCGAGTTTATTTAGCGAGATAGTCTTAGGTAAACTAAAGAAAATAAAAACGTACAAATCCCCTGGTCCAGATCAGATTTCGGTCACTGTTTTGAAAAATTGTGCAGACTTCCTCGCGGTTCCACTCTCAGTTTTGATGGAAACATTTTTTAAGTTGTGAGAAGTTCCCTTAGACTGGAAAACGGCAATAATTCGTCCGGTTTTCAAAGAAGGCGATAAGTTTGATGCTTCTAAATACCGCCCTGTCATTTTATCATCTCTTGTGGTCAAGGTGATGGAATCCATAATATACGACCACATGATTGCATTTCTAGTGACACACCAGCTCATTCCACGCGAACAACACGAATTCTTGTCAGGTAGATCTGTTCAGTCAAACCTCTTGTGCTGTATGTCCGACTGGACAAAAGATGCAGATTCGGAACGACCGTTGGATGTCGTATAACTCGTATATATCTTGATTTCTCGAAGGCGTTCGATAGAGTTCCGAAAGGCTAACTCTTACACAAGTCTTTTGCCATCTCTGCACTACAACAGTTGTGACAATTTTTCATCCTTATCATCTGACCCTCGTTCGATTTACAAATGGCCTCAAGTTTGGTTATTACCCACAAACTTAGACAAATGCGTTACCTTGCAAGGGAAATCCCCGACACGTATATAGTACCGGAAGCAACGGGCTTGCCACCACTGAATCCCATATGGATTTTGGTATTCACGTTTTTGCTCCAGCCTCATTTGGTGTGACCATCTCTTGCAGGTCACGAAGAAGGCTAATAAAATGCTTTTTATATTAAGCAAAACATTTGTCAAAGCCAGTCCCTTAGTTTTTTTGAAGTTTCACAAAACGTACATTAGACGCATCCTGGAATTTGTCAACGGAGTCTGGAGTCCCGGCCTCCAAAGAGACATTTTCCTCTTGGAGGCTGTACAACGAAAGGCCACTAGGATTCCATTCGGCAAAAATCGACCATCATACCCCTATGTGTTGAAACAAATAAATATATGCTCTCTGGCTGAAAGACATTAAAGAGGCGACCTTATAACTATATACCAGGCGTCGAGCAACTAAATGCCTACTTCCACTTAACATATCTGATCGCACCAGCGGTCATCCACTTAAATTGCTCAAACACAAATTTCGTACAACTGGAAGACAGAGCTTCATAAGGAATACAGTGTTTGATGATTGGAACGTTTTGCCAAAAAGATATTGTTTTAGCCTCATCTGTAGTGAGTTTCAAATCCAAATATGACAAACATTGTTCTAAAACTTTTACCACCACTTGATTTAGTGCGGGCATAACAGGCTAGACTCTGCCCGATCGCTCTCCTAGTAATAATAATAATAATAAAGAAAATAAAAAAGCTAAAATTTAAAAAATGGGGAAATTGTAAAATGGTGTCATAAAATTTTGATTTTTTTTTCAAAAATATGGATGACTAGAGTAAAAATTCGTATCTCGTTTTATACAATTTAAATAATATTTGCTATTGTAAAATTTGGAGATGATCATATCCACACGACACTCCTAATATACAAAATTTGAATGCTCGGTCTGGTAATGTCTATTATTACCTATCAGCAGACAGACAGAAACGACAGACCTTTTTTTTCGTCTCTAAACGTCACGAAACACCAACAAAAAAAAAATGAAAACGGTCAATTGTCCAATTGACTCGATATTACAACGTGTACATCCTTACCTTACGTTCTGGAAGTAAAAAATGACAATAAACGTGTATAACGTGCTGCATAATCTCGATCTCTTTAATTTTCCACCAACATGATACAAATAAAGTAAAAACTACCAAGATTGTGAGGTTATGTGGAAACAATTTGAATTGTTTTTAATTTATTAATTTACCGGTACGTAATACAAGATTCGTTTTTATAATAATCTTTTAACGTAATAATAAGGCATCAGTTTCAGACTAGTTGAAATGGAAACACTGGAATATTCCGTAGCTTACATGGCACACAAGAAGTCTTCCCTGGTAAAAGTCCACTATTGTACAGTTTTCCATACGTTACAACATCCTTCTTTCAGATAATGAACCACATTCGCCGTCATCAGTCATCCTTGGTATTTTTTACCTGTGGAAACCCTCTTGATTCTTACCATTGCAAAGACTGCGATTTTCAAACCGAACTAACGTTGCCTTTCAAGCGACATATTAAAGACCGTCACGGAATAAAACAAGAAAACAATGACGATTTAAGTGTACAAGATAACATTCAAAAGTACGTTTGTGGAAAGTGCGGCTTTGAGACGCATTTTTCGCTTAAATGGTTACGTCACATGAGAGAGTGTCCTTACAAAACTAAAGAACAACCAAATTTGAAACAGCATATTCAGCGGCATCGTGGAGATGAAAAAGACATCAGGTGGTACAAGTGTGAAAATTGCGAATACAAAAACAAATATCGCTCATCATTAAACAGACACATAAAAATGCGGCATTTAAACAAAGGGCATCAATGCCCTGTGTGTCCTTACAGGACCCTAGGCAAAGCCGATTTGAAAAAGCACATTAACGCACGGCATGTGGACGACCTCGACGCCAAATGGTACGAATGTGAACAATGCTCATATAGATGTAAACGCAAGACATATTTGACGAGACACGTGAACTTTTTTCATATGGATGAAAAGGACGCCAAATGGTATGAATGCGAACATTGTCCATACAAGACTAGATATAGTTCGAACTTTAAGAAACACGTGGAAAGCCAGCATTTTAGTGGGAAAAGTATCACGTGGTATCACTGCACCAAGTGTTCATTTAAAACAAAACACGAGGGGGTTTTACAGAAACACGTGGACGCGTCGCGTTTGAACGAACACGACATGAATTGGTACGATTGTGAACAATATGAAAAGGACGCCAAGTGGTACGAATGCCAACATTGTCCATACAAGACTAGAGATCGGTCGAATTTAACGAGACACGTGAACGGGCGGCATTTGAATGAGGAAAGTATCACGTGGTATCAGTGCAAGGAGTGTCAATTTAAAACCAAATATAGCAATAGTTTACAGAAGCACGTGAATGCGCGGCATTTGAGAGGCGAAGATATCACGTGGTATCAGTGCGAGGAGTGTCCATTTAAATCAAAACACGTGGTGCTTTTACGTAAACACGTGAATGTGCGACATTTGGACGGAGACAGTATCAAATGGTACGACTGTGACAAGTGCCAATACAAAGCCCAGTATCTCTCATCTTTAAAGAAACACATAAATGCGCGACATTTGGACAAAGACGAAATCAAGTGGCACCAGTGCAATGAGTGTTCCTTCAGGAGCAAAGCAAAAAGCAGTTTGAAAACTCACATTAACGTACGACATCTGGACGACCAGAACGCGAAATGGTACGAATGCAAACAGTGCCCATTTAAAAATAAATGTTACAAATCTCTAACCAAACACGTGAACGCTTGTCATGTGGACGAAAAGGACCGCAAGTGGTACGAATGCCAGCAGTGTCCATACAAGTCTAGAGATAGTTCGACTTTAAGAAGGCACGTGAGAACCCGTCATTCGAATTTAAAACAAAACGAACAAATAAAGTATAAGGTGACACAAAATGCAATAGAGATTAAACATTTAGTTGAAAATGATATTAAGGTATAAGAGTGCGAAAAGTGTACTTTTAACACTAAGAACAAAAGTAATCTGAACTTTACATGTAATAGATAATAGTTTGTTTTCGCAATGTTTTTACTGAAATAATAAATTTTAGGGATATTTAAATTTATTCAATTTAAGCCTAGTCAATTATTTCGAAAATTAGAAAAAAATTGTCTTAACGATATCCCTATCTTTTGCAGTTTATTTAAGGTAATGTATTTTCCTTTAAATAAAATATTTTTTCCAAATAGAGTCAACCTCATTTCCATTACGTGTATGATAATCATCGTTCAGTATAGTTTGGAGTACAGATGACTTCTCTAATCCGAACATTGCGATCGCTAGAAACATGGTTATGCACTTTGTTTCGACTGTTGCACTTCAGTTCAATCGAAATTATGATTAACAGAACAGTTCTTAATTTTATATGCGTATCATGTCTTAACATTTGGAACACATCAAATTTTTAATCTGGTTTAGGCTTCTTTGAAGTTGTAGAGATAGTGCAGAAGTGGTGCTGTATAGAAACATCAAACAGAACTCATGATTAACCTTGATGATAAATCCTGCTTCGAGGACAGCCAAAACTTAGAACAGAATACAACTGACGTACAACATCGACATCAGCATTTAAATGTGTCCAACCAGGAATGTTATATAGTGAATTAAAATTGTAGGTCCATGTATGCAACATATTTTTAAATTTGTGTCTTTGGCTCCACAATTTTATCGAACGAAATATGCCACAGGTGCAACAGCTATCTTGTGACATAATAAGCAAATGCTTAATGTATGTATTTAATCAATGATGAAGGGATAATTTGCTTTACAGTAAATACTAGGTCCATTGTTGGGCAGTATCTAGATACTTGTATCTAAATAAAGTATCTGGATACATTTTTGGGTATCTAGTATCTGTATCTAGATAAAATCGAATTTAAGCACAAAATATCAGTATCTAGATACAAAATCTTAATGGCGCAGATACAGATACATTTTTTTATTTCACTTTTTTCAGTAGTTATTAGTTGAGTTATACTAGTAGTAATTTTTGATACTTCATGTTGGTGATTTTGGTAACATAAACAAAAATAGAGGTAAGAGGTCCATTAATAGTGTTCTGTCACGGAAATTTTGATCTTTTAAATACCATCATTTCCTACATTGTAGCCTTCAGTACTTATACATCTTTAAATATAATCCTGAGGGGTAATAAATCTAAGCCATGGTAAGATGGTATTTTAAAAACCATAAACCACAGTTCACTATTCACTGCGTTTCACCCTTACCGGGGCAATGCATTTTGTCTGTGTACCTGAGCAACCCGGGTCCGGTAGGCCCGCTGGTTGTATTTGTGTTATCAAATAAGAGTAATTTTAATAGTAAAAATATTTGTTTAAGGTATGTTATTATTTTTAGAAAATAATAATTGCGTGTGACATAATGATTAATTTTTTCAATTAGCACAAATTAGTTCTGTAATCGACTAATCGAATGTTCAATACATACATTTCTCTCGCATAAATCGCATATTTGTTACTGTTTTATACCTTTATTTTTCAGACAAATGTAGCAACTTTTCCAGTTGCCACATGTGTTATTTCTTCACTTTTTCATTGTTGGACCTAACGCGAGGCGGGCTTGGCAGGTCCGTTTTGCCCTAGAATAGGCCGATTATGTTTAAGTGTAAATCTTGGGAAATAAAATTAATATTTTTACAACCCTCGGTAGAATAATTTATCGTGATATATTCTCAGAAATCGTGAAACGAGATTAAAATAAAATGAGTTTCAACAAAAATCTGAAAATTTAAAGTTGCACTCTGGTGATTCCGGCCTGCCAGGCAGCCTTTGATCCTATAAAGGGTTTAAATAGCTTTCTAAGAAATTGTACTTATTTTGCCTTATTAAACGGAACCAGCAATTCTTCCTAAAATGTATATACTTGCCCCACCGGGATAGACGATTACCGGACATGGTCATAAAAACATCGTAAGCCGATATTGAAGAATAATAATTTATGACAGGTTGCCGACAACAGACCTTCAGCACAGAATAATCATTTTCCGTATTCTTATGAAATATTAATTTTAATGCTGGAGATAATTATTAGATATACTCAAACACAATTTGGATACTGTAGTATGGGAATAAAAACAAAAAAAAATATTCTTTTTAAACGTACATAATAAATATTGCACAACTTGCGACACATCAAACAGCGAACCGATGGCCTATTTGCAGAAAAAAAGAAAATATTTTTCAGTCTTGAATAACTATGCTACAGTAAAATGTTTATTTTTTAAATTTAATACCACAATCCCTTCTTCTGCACCTGTGGAACCGGTGTTTAGTAGCGGAAACCAAATTCTGACATCAAGAAGATTTAGGTGACAATACGTTCGAAATGTTGTTAATTTAAAAAAAATCATTAAACAATACTTAAAAAAATACATAAACAGGTTTTCAGTTATTTTATTCGCCAAAGCTTCAAAAAGTATCTGCTTTCTTGTATCTTGTATCTAGATACATTTCGAAAAAATCGAAAACAATCTGTATCTAGGTATTTTTATCTTCCATATATCTATATCTGTATCTAGATATTTGTAAAAGTATCTGTCCTCAACCTCAACCCTGACTAGGTCCATCATTCGCCATTCTTTTGTCACAACTGGAAAATGAAACTTCTCTAGAGATAAGTGGAAGGGATGCTTCCATTATGTGGGTAAGTTACCTCTTGTCGTTGTACGTCTTTTTATACTTATGTCATCAAGTTTGGCCTTGATTAACAAATAGGAACCTACGTTGTGTGCTTTTTTTTGTTTTTGAAAAATGGCGGGAAGACGTTCTTTCATACAAGTGAGCATATACTGCATGTGAGTCGAGAGCGCAAGAAATAATAGACAAAATTAGGGAGGTCGAAATCCTTCCTTAGGAGGCAAAGAAACGAAGAGCGACAGTGACTCAGCGTGCCCTTCTGGTGGTTCCGCAGGGTCAAGGCGTCATCGGTCTTCATTCCCAAAAAACCCCTGGGGTTTTATTCACCGAAATATTACATTTCAAACACCTTAAGATATATGAAAGGAAACACTCGCGAATTGACAGACATACACATACGAAAAACGAACAAACGCAAAATTCTATACATCTGTTTGGAATCAATGCAAATATTTGAATATCACAAATTTAATAAAACAAAGCAAAATCCGACTTAAGTAACTGGATGCAAATACACAAGTTATTACGGGCGTGTGGCGGCAGATTTTTAAAGTTACGGCAGTTAACAGGAGCACAACAAAAGTACCCCTGGGGTGTTGTAGCATAAGCGGAGTTTGGGGCTACCGGTCTGGAGCTGTTCTCCCCGCACGACGGTGATTCTATCTATCACAAAGCCTACTCCACACGCATATCTCCATTACGGTCGCCAGACCCGCAAGTGGATCTCGACTATTGGTCCAAGTCGAGAGCAATACAAACCGGCGGCCGCCCCTGAATCTATCCAAACCTGTGGGCTTGTGCAGGTGACACGATAAATCTCGCCAGCTCGACTAGGAACCGAACTTCGCTTCTGCCACGTTTTCTGTGTCATTTAACCTCAATTTCATTTTCAAATATTTAATCTCCTATAACTTTGATATTAACAACTACCGAACGAGTGTTAAAGTTTCAAAGAGCAATAAACAACAGTTAAATTCGCCATACAATCTTCTGAAATTTTAAACAACAAATAATTCTTATGTGAGATTAAAGATGGGACATTAAATAATTTATATGATAGAAACATTCATCAACAAAGTATTTACAAAACAAAACTTAGCAAGGATTTATGAAACAAGAGATCTGGTGTGAAATGAACTTGTGCAAATAAAAATATTATGTGAGGATAAAACTGTAGAACATGAAATTTACGTTCAATTAAAATTATACAATAAATAAAATTACTGAGGTTAAAATTGTGAGATTAAGAAATATAGTATGAGGTGGTAAAATTGCAAGTTAACAAAACTTACAGGAGATTGATATTTGCCACACTTTATCAACGGTTCAAACAAAGAGTTTACATTATGTTAAATTGTCTTGATCCAAGTGAGTGGTTACTTAAAAAAAAACAAATTACTTTGAGAGTTTAAAATACTGCGAACTGGTTACCTCAACAAAACACATAATCAACAAACACAAAAATATCCAATCATCGCTCCGAGGGAAAAAGCGTCTCGGTGATGTAAATTTTAAAATCGTTGCGAGGAAAAAGCGTCTCGGTGATGTAAATTTTAAAACCGTTGCGAGAAATTGCCTCGATGAATTAATCAATGTGTAGCGTTGTAATGGCATGCCTCGATGAATTAATCAATCTGTAGCGTTGTGAGGCATGCCTCGATGAATTAATCAAGATGACGACGATAACACCTTTGATAACCGCCTAAGGGAAGAAAACATTTTAAACCTCCCCCGCCAGTTCTCAGTATAATGAACTTGTTTACCTGCCGTAAATGAACTATTAGCAATCTTGTGTGAAGAATTTAGAAGTGTTATAATGTAACACTTACGTATATGCATCCAGAGACCTATTCGTAATTAAACATAAGGTGTTTTTCCTGACTAAGTGAATTTCATGAAATCTTCTAGCAAGTGGTTTATTTAAATAATCCTTGACAAAATTAAACCTGTTTGTACTGGTTCCCGATACCCCCTTTCCCGCTTTTGATATTTTTAAATAAAATAATAACTTCTTGCAAAAATTTCAACGTGTTTTTGTATTCACGTAAATTAGATTTGCTAATAGCCGAAATGTCACATCGGGATGACATGATACGGAACCATTTACTTAAAATTTTGATAAACCAAGCAGTAGTATAAGCTCACGGTCAACAATAGCTATTAGAACCAATGTTCCGATTTGGACGCCTCAAACTTTGCTTCTAAAGTGCAATGGTTTTCTTACATGAGGGAAAATTATATAAACGATATCCATCGGTTGCTCTGTTATTACAATTAATTAAACTGCAGTGCATTCTCAGAAAATATTTTAAATGTTTGACTTTTTTACTTCAAAAAATGACAAATTATAAAAAATTACAGTCAAGTGGATTGCTGCAATTTTTTTTAGCAAACTGGAAAACCTTTGAGACGAACATTCATGATAAATTTGACAACAATTTTGGCATACACGTATTTCTGACAACCAGTCATATAGCAGCCAAACGAAATTCGGGCAGGGGTAAAACATCATGGTTGAAGAATTTGAGGGATTGGTATAGTAGCTGTCACAATAAGCTGAACGCCTCAAGTGCTCAATAAACCCCTAACCACAGCTTATAGATGCCATAAATTTGGGCCGAATGGCGTATAGCATTCAGTTAGTACTTAAATAAGAGATATGCTGTGCCCAAACAGTGGAGAGTAATAAAAATTACAACCATCCTAATCACTTCAATGAGTGGCAGCACGACCGCGCCCCAGGCAGCATTCGGTCTAATTTGACGGTCACAATACGGTGTAGATACGAACACACTCTTCAGAATAGCTGTCAACAAGATCTAAATCGCTATGATGGTGACCAACGTTCTGAAAGGACATGGTACTTTACTTACATGAAGAAGAAGTCATATAACTTGAAATATTTTGAAGTTGAAACTGTCAGTTCGTGTCCCCACTCTTAAAAACGACATATTCTGTCAAGGACTCTAGAGAGGTGCAGTGTAATACTAACGATAGCAGTACAGTTGGCTCCAGAAAAAACGGGAACTGTCAAAGTTAGTATGAGAGATTACTGTGTGAATTTTTCTAGTTTAAATTGGACTATTTTAAAATAGGTTAGAACAATAATGACATTGCAAAAATTTTGTGTCAAAATAGTGACAAAACTCACAAATATTTACCTAACAGATTTGTCAAAGTGACAGGTAAGGTCAGGTACACTTTACACTGTACAAAAATTCCATTCCCGTTTTTTCTGGAGCCAACTGTACCTACTGTATTCCCAAATTTTCGGGAAAATGATGTGAGCCATTCCTGATTTCATTAATAAAATAAATTGACCCATTCATTAATTTTTATAACATTATAAGTCACCCTGTTACAGTTGGCTTCAAAGAAAAGGAAAATGAAATGTGACCTAATGTGAATTGAAAATTTAATTTATCAGTTTATGTTAATTTTTGTTTATTTGACAATAGTATTTGTTAAAGAGTAACTGACATTTTTGCCACGTACGTGGCAGTTTTTTAACCTACATTCTAGAAAACTAATCAAATCTGACAGAGCTTTTTCTGACATTTCCCGTTTTATTTTTTTTTGTTGAAGGCGATCAGAAGAAATTCAAACACCTTTAATGTAATGAAAAATCGCAAGTATAGTTTCATCATATTTTGCATTTTTTTTTGGGTCACCCTGTATAAGTTATTCTAAAAACTATATATTGTGTGCGTTAATAATCCACAAGTATACAGTCATAATATTTTGCATAGTTCAGAGACGGCAAAATTTTGGTATGACGTCACCAATTTTTTTGGAAGGGAATAAAAAAATTACGTTTTCTTAACGATTTACATTTATCATGGTAACCTTAAAATATTTACAAGATTTCAGAGCATTAGGTTTTGCATTTTCAAAATTAAATTGCAAAAGAATGTGATACAATTGTCAATTTTTTTCCAAAAATTTAAAAGTATCTAGAAAATTCGACACGGATTTACACACCACAAATCTTTATTTTATCAGTATCCACATTTCACTAAGTTGTAGATAATAAACACGTAATAAAATTAAATCTATTAAGTTATTTCATTTCGTGACTTCTTCGTTGGAATCGCACGTTGATTCCATTGTATGACTTCAAAATCGCCGCCATTCCTAACTCTGGTTTGTAGCCCGGGACAGGAGAAACTTTATATTTTTGCAAAATTTTTATGAGGGTCACTTTCATGTCCAACATTGCAAATTTTTGGCCTAAACGAACACATTTATTTATTTGTACAAAATCAACACAAGTTAATTAATCAATTTTTTACCTATGCAATTCCTAGCACCTGCACTGAAGGGCACAAATGCATAATTATGACGCTCCGATTGTCTCTCCGGCAGAAACCTATCCGGGTCAAATTTTTCCGGCTCAGGAAAATATTTCTCGTTTTGGTGAACACCATAAAGATACAGAGTCAAAGTTGTATCTTTTGGAAAATCAACACCACCTAAAACAAATAGTATATAGTCGTACCGAAATAAGTTAATTAGAGCCTACAAATTTTAGCATCCACTTCCAACTGACGTTCCACAATCGGCACCGCTGAGTACTTTCGTTGGACCTCTTTGACAACCATTTCCAGATATCTCGTATCTTGTAGTTGCTTCATTGTCACGTATTTTTCGTCCCCGACAGTCGCCTCGATCTCCTCGTAAACTCTTTCCTGCACTTCCGGATGATCCGCCAGAGCTAACAATGCGAAACAAATTCCAGAAGTGGTGGTGTCGTGACCCTCGAACATGAAAGTGTTAATTTCTTCCGTAATGTCGTCGTTCGTCAAACTCTGGTTGTACTCAGACTCCAGCAACATATCCAACAAAGCCACTTTTCGCTTAATCCCGAAATCCGAATCCGTAACTTCTTTTTTCTCTTGTGCCTTTTCAGAACGCCTTCTTTCCACCACCGTACTCGAGTACTTCTGAAGAACGTTCAAATAGTGCTCATTCAGTGAGTGCTCCGAAGTTATTTTAAAAAGAGAGTCGTATCTCTTCCAAGCCGAGAAAAACCTGACCATGAAAATATCGAGCCAACCCCGAAGAGAATCCACGAATTCGGAGTTCTCGCCCTCTTGAGTCGACATTTTCACCCCCATGGCGGTTTCTGGAAGGAAAAGAGTATCATATGGTGGATAAGCAGTGTTTAAACTTACCACAGATCACGTCGAGGGAAAATAAATTTATGTAGGGGTACAAGTCGGTGGAAGGTTTTCCCACTTCTTGGGAGAGTTTATCTACGAGGATGTCTCCACTGGCGTTAAATACCTCGAGAAACTGATCCAGAATTTTGAAGTGGAAGGTTGGTGTGATCATTTTCCTGCGCGTTTTCCACTTTGATCCTAAAATGTTCAGGTAGTCGGATGTGGTGCGAAGAATTCGGCGATTTACCTGTGCTTGTGAGCAGGCCATAGTTTACGAATTTTTTCAAGAGGGAGTACCCTCTCGATTTTGTGATGTGGATGTTTGAGCTCATGATTTGTTCCAAGAAGTCTGCGTTGGCGACGAAGATTTTGCATTCGTCGGCGATGTAGAGGCGAAAAACGTCACCGTATTCTTTCATGAATTTCGAGCAGTTGTTGAAGAAGGCTGGAACAACGGAAAAAATCGGATTTATTTAGATAAAATCAGCACGTTTTTTCTTAAATAACCTATATTTCATAGTTATTTATAGTTTTTATAATTACTTATTAATTAAAAAAATTAATGAATGCGTTAATCTATCCCAGCAACAATAGAATATGTCAATAATTCTCCATTTGTGAATTATGAATCTGAGTCGAGTTTTTATCTAAAGTAATCACAGTTTTAGAAAAAAATCAAAATTGTATAATAATTTTACAATTTAAATTTGAAATTGCAAAATCGAATGCTTTGAAATCTTGCAAACGATTTAAGGTTGGTACTCATGGTAAATCGTTAAACAAAATTTATCCGTTCATGCCCCCCTCCACAGGAATTAATGTTATCTTACAATTTTGTCGAATAAATATGTTATTTAAAATTTAAAAAGTAACCTTAACTTGTGGTTTATCCAGATTTTTGAAAAAAAGCAAAATTACATAACAATTTTTCGATTACTCAGTTTTTCGATATTTCAATGTTGGGATTTTTCAAATTTTTTGTTTTACGATTTTTTTCATATTTCGATTTTTCAATTTTTCGATATTTCAGCTTTGGAATGTTTCAAAATTACTATTCTTCAATTTTTCAATTTCTCGAAATTATATTTTCCCAATTTTTCAATTTTTGTTGATTTTTAAATTTTAGATTTTTCAATTTTTTGATGTTTTGAGTTCTCGATATTTCAATTTTCGATTCATTAATTATTCGATTTTTCGATTTTTCAGTTTGGCAATGTTTCAGTTTTACCGACTTTCAATTTTCGATGCTTCAGTTTTTTCATTTTTAAATTTTTGGCGTTTCTAATTTTTCGATTTCCCAAATTTTCGATTAATCGATTTTTTGATTTTTCGGTTTTTCAGTTTTCCAATTTTTCAATTTTTCTTCGATTTTTATACTGTGGAATTTCTAATTATTCGATGTTTTTTGTTCTCGGTTCTTCAATTTTTAGACACTTTAATTTTTCAATTGTTAAAATTTTAGACTTTTCTTTTTCTTGATTTTACAGCTCTTCGATATTTCTATTTTTCAATTTTTCGGTTTTTAAATTTTTCGATTTTTCAGTTTTTTGATTTTTTAATTTTTCGATTTATCGACAGTTCGAAGATACTATTTATCAATTTTTTATTATTTAAAATTTTTCTATTTTTATCTTTTCACCTTTTCGATTTTGGGCTATTTCGGTTTTTCAATTTTTCGATTTCTCGATCCTTTGATGTTTCGTTTCTCTATGCTTCAATTTTTCAATTATTGGGTTTTTCGACTTTTTGATGCTTCCATTTTTCGATTTTTAAATTTTTCGATGTCTCGAAATTGTATTTTCCCAATTTTTCAATTTTTGTTGATTTTTAAATTTTAGATTTTTCAATTTTTTGATGTTTTGATTTCTCGATTTTTCAGTTTTCGATTCATCAATTATTCGATTTTCGATTTTTCAGTTTGCCGATGTTTCAATTTTCGATTCTTCAATTTCTCTATTTTTAAATTTTTGTCGTTTCTAATTTCTCATCTCAATTTTTCGATTTTCGAGTTATGCATTTTTTGGTTTTTCAGTTTTCCAAACTTTCAATTTTCAGTTTTTCTTGGATTTCTCAATTTCTCGATCTTTTACTTTTTCAATTTTTCGATTTTTATACTGAATTTCTGATTTTTCGATTTTTTTGATGTTTCGTGTTCTCGGTTCTTCAATTTTTACACATTTTTCAATTATTAAAATCTTAGATTTTTCCTTTTCTTGAATTTACAGCTTTTCGATGTTTCTGTTTTTCAATTTTTTGCTTTTTATCCAAGTTTCTGCTTATCAATTTTTTTTATTTTACATTTTTCTATTTTTGTTTTTTCGATTTTGGGCTATTCGGTTTCTCAATTTTTCGATTTTTTGACTTCTCGACTTTTCCTTGATGTTTCGTTTCTCTATGCTTCAGTTTTTCATTATTCGATGTTCCATTTTTCGATGCTTTAATTTTTATATTTTAGATGTTTCAAATTTTAATTTTTCGGATTTTTGATATTTCAGTTTCTTGATTTTTCGAATTTTTCAATTTCTCGGTTTTTTTATTTTTGTGTTCTTCGATATTATATGGTATTTTTCAATTTTTCCAATTTTTAAATTTTTGATTTTTCAGTTTAGTGAAATTTCAATTTTTATATTATATTTTTTTAATTTTACATTTTCGACTTTCCGATTTTTCAGGTTTTCGATTTCTGAATTTTGCGACATATTAATTTTTGAGAATTTTTCAATTGCTGGATTTTTAAGTTTTTTGCGAAGGTAAATTACTCTGGAAAAAGCAAATCCTAAAATGCGAGCGTAGCGAGCTTGTTCAGAATGTTTCAGTCTTGCAGACTCTAGTAATTGCTAACAACTTTTAAGTTAATAAATATTTTTTAAAATTACACCTCGCTGCGCTCCTATTTTAAATTTCTCAAAGAAATGTGCAGAAAGAGTCTCAGTTGTTTGGGTTCCATTGTAGGAATAAATCTTGAGATTTAAAAAAAACCTCCCCACTTTAGCAGATAATCACAAATATTTTTTGGATTCACAACAAACATTTTTTTATAGATAATTTAGTTTCTCAGGGACACCGAAGAGTAATTTTTAATAAAACCTAAACGTGTTCACTACGCTCAAGATCTTAATACTCTTTTTTCAAATAAATCGTTGATCGATTTTTGTTTACTTTTTGACACCTGATTTAAATTAATTGCGTTTATAACGATGTGGACGCGAATTCAAATTATACTTAATTACATTTATTTATATACGCATTGGCTTACGCAATAGAGTAGGAATTAAATATTCAAATGTAAATAAATACCGAACAATTGCGATTTTTTGTAAGATGATGCTAGTTTAAACACAACATTTATCCTAATGTCTAACCCATAGATAAAACCTGGGTACTCACCTTGAGGAGTCTGTCCAAGATCATTCGCATTTCCAAGAAGAGGAATAGGCCTAGGGCCAGGAATGACACTCAAAGACTTGTATTTTTGCAAAAATAAGAACCACCAAATAAAGGGGGTACAAAACAAAATCACTGCGATGGCTAGAAACATGGTTATGCACTTTGTTTCGACTGTTGCACTCCAGTTCAGTCGAAAGTATGATTAAAAGAACACTTAAGTATCTAATTTTATATACTTATCATGTTATCTTAACACTTGGAACACATCAAATTTGTAATCTGGTTAGGCTTGTTTGAAGTTGTAGAGATAGTGCGGAAGTGGTGCTGTATAGAAATAACAAACAGAACTCATGATTATAACCTTGATGATAAATCGTGCTTCGAGGACAGCCAAAACCTAGAACAAAATACAACTGACGTACAAATTCAACATCAGCACTTAATTTTTGCTAATTGGCATTTATTTTCGCTTGTCACGCACAAGATCCTTATGTTATAAAACACCGTGACCTTAAGATGAAAATTTGCATATGATCTTAACAATGAAAACCAATAGTGCGCAAATAAATAAAATATGTGTACTTTTTTCCCATTTTTTAGCAAAAATCTAACGTAGATACGACTTCAGAAACGAAACAATTTTTTCCTTTCCGAGAGTAAGTTAAGCAAGTGTTGTAATCGATCCCATCGGGTGACTGGCTACTTTCATGTTTTGTCGACGTTTCGTGACCCCGAGAGTACGAAAAATTAGGCCTGTCTTCCTGTCTGTCTGTCTGTCCGCCGTCTGTGTCGATTTTATTTACACAGATAATTAGTTATCCGAAATTACCCAACCGACTGTTGTCAAATTTTGTATATATGTTAGAAATATTATGTAGATGGCAAAACGCTAACCAAAATTCCCTTCCACCTGTGCTTTAGAAATCCGTGTTGAGTGTCCGAATTTTTGCAAAAAGAAAAAAAAATAGTCGAAATTTATTTCGACAGAACTTTCTTCGCTCCTGAGATAAATTCCTTTGAAAAGTTATAAAATTAGATTTTGCGATTTTTGTTTTATTTTGATAACCTCTCAATGGCGTAAATAAATCCTCCGCAGCTCCTGCGCCGCGGGGGCGTAAACTGCAAGTACGAACGATAGAAAAGTAAATGGGGTGCACCGTTCTTGATTTGATTAAAAAAAAGATGTAGCGAGGATATGAATGAGATAGGAATCTCACTAGTGCAGATCTTATTCGAACGCTTGGAATGCAGAAATTGTCCTGGGCCCCCAGCCCGGGCAGCTACAACGCAGTTGTCCGGATGCCCGCGAGATATCGGTTATATACATAACAACATGCAGCGAATATTGCAGAAACAGTTTTGTAAAGTAATCATGATTCATGACTAAAACTAAATGCGGATTCGTAAATTACAAGTGTAGGAGTAGGTATGTGATTTTATAAAACTTAAAAAATGTTTGTTGTTAAAAACTTTGAGGGGATCGCATCACGTTGGGGATGATTAGACAAATTTTGGTTAGCGTTTAACCACGTACATGATATTCCGAATATATATACAAAATTTGATAACAATCGGTCAGGTAGTTTCGGAGATTACGTGTCTAATATACAGAGCCGTTTTAATCCATAGGCGAGCACCAACTTTTCGAAGTCTGCTCAAGGTCTAGCGTCGGCATACACGACAAGCGTTCGCTCGAGATTTTCTTCTGTAAAATGTGTTCTTTTAGGGGTTAAGAAGTCTTGCAATTTAGAAAACGAACACTCCACGCCACAACTAGTTATGGGAGCGTAGGTAATTATAATATGCGAGCAAAGTCTCATATTTTGTTCAAATGTTTGACTCTGTTATGCCATCGCAAAATGGATACAAAGTACAATAGACGCCGCTTAATATGATCACGGTTAATGTTATCAACCGCTTAGTGTGATCAAAATGGCTTGGAACGGGCCCACGCAATACCAATGCATTACAGGTTTTCCGTTTATTGTGATCAATATTTCGCTTATTGTGATCAATCTCCCAATTCTTATACAAGCGGGATTGTTTTTTTTTTTCAAAAAACGAGACGATTGAAAGTACTATTGTTTTTTAATTAACATGTATTGCTCTCAAAATATACATTCGCTTATACTACTCACTTTATAGAGCCACAATCAGTGACAGACTTTAGTAATCAGCGCGTTTTCGTCTTTTGAATGAACGAATTTTTTCTGTTTTAAATTTGAATAGTACTTATGTAAAAATGAGCACGTCGCAACGACGAGATTTCAGCTTATAAGAGAAAAAAATTCTCTGCCCTTTTTTTCTAAAATAACCAAAGGAAATCAAGAGTTCCTTTCTCACTTCTCAGAATGATAACCAAAATTAAAATAAATTCTAATGTTTATGTACCTTCATCTACCAGCATAATGAACACTGTCTTGTTCATGATTTTGATTTGTTTAAAGTTTTCCTGTCTCTGATGGTGGTTTTCGCTTATTGTTATCAGTCGGTTAGTGTGATCAATTTGTCTGAGTCCCAAAGTGATCATATTAAGCGGCGTCCACTGTACTTGCATCGGGATTTGTAGTAAAAACAGTTTCTACTTTTATTTTTAACTTCTTCCCAAATTCACCTGGAAGACTTTTTAATTGAGTTACAACAGTACTTTGAAGTTTTGATAAAGCGTCATGCAATTTTAAAATTTTAGATTGTAAATAAACTATAGTTTTCGATAAAGTTTGACACTTTTGTTCAAAGAGACTTCAATAATTATAAACGATGTTTGCATGCATTTTTTTTCAGTTGTTCTATATACGGGAACCGGAGGTAGAGGTGAACAATATTTGGATACATTAAATCGTCTGAAAGTATTGTTACGTTTGACGGGCGAATAATTAATCAGGCGTAGGTAAAAACTCAACTTGCTGAAGTAATTGCTGACGACCATTATGTACTTATTCCCGTTCTCGGTCACCGGGAAAGGACCTGCTATCTCCACTGCAATTCTTTCGAAAGGAGAACCGACGTTGTATTGTTACATCGGCCCTCTCGCTCTAGTCCTAGGCCCCTTGACTGCCGCACAGGTCGTATATCTCTTGCACCAGCTCTCAACATCTTCTCGACAACGGACCCAGTAAAATCTCTCCCTAACTTTAGCAAGCGTCTTGTTGATTCCAAAATGAGCACCAGAACCACCGTTGTGCATTTGTCGAAGTACTTCCTTGGTTCTAATGGCCGGAACAACCAACTGCATGGTGGTATGTTTCCCATCCGGACTCTCCCAAGCTCGCTTAAGCAATCGATTCTCAACACGCAGGGAGTCCCACTGAGCCCATAACGCCTTGAAAGAGGGTGACTCGTCTGATATCTCCGACCAAGCTGGTCGTTCTATCCCATCTTCTTTCCATTTGAGCAACGGCCCAATATCCACGTCCTCCTCTTGGTCCTTTCTAAGCTGGGCGGTAGTCCATTCTTCATCTTCCACAACTGCTGTCCTCCCACAGTTGAACGACGTTTCACGCTGCTCGATCTTGTCACAGTGTTTACAATTCTTACACGGTCTTCTCGACAAGGAGTCCGCATTATTGTGGAGCTTACCAGCCCTGTGTCGAATTTTGAAGTGATACTGTTGGAGTCGTTCAAGCCATCTAGCCACTTGTCCTTCGGGATTCTTCATCTGAAGGAGCCATGTAAGGGCTGCGTGATCGGTTTTAATAAGGAATTCGCGTCCATAGAGATACTTATGGAAATATTGGACAGCCCTGACAATCGCCAGCAACTCTTTCCTCGTAGCACAGTAGTTCTTCTCGGGTTTCGAAAGTACGCTGCTGAAGTACTCGGTGACTTTTTTTTCGTTGTCCTGCACCTGTCACAATACAGCACGTATTCCGATGTTGCTCGCGTCCGTGTCCAAGATGAACATTCCCGATAATCGAGGATAGGACAGAATGGGACTAGAGCATAGTGCGTTTTTCAATCTCTTAAAGGCTGCTTCACATTCTGTAGTACGTGCACAATCCCAAGAAACTCCGGACTTCGTGTTTATCTCTGGGCCTTGGCCAATCACGAATCGCCTTGATCTTCGTTTCCGTAGTCTTGATTCTGTTCGACGAAACAGTATGCCCCAGAAATTCTACTTCTTTTTGGAAGAGGAGACACTTCTTCGGATTCAACTTCAAATTTGCCTCCTTCATTCGACTAAATACTTCTTCTAAGTTGGTCAAGTGCTCCTCAAATGTTTTTCCCATTACCTTGATGTCGTCTAAATAAACCAAACATGTTTTCCATGTTAACCCTCGTAATACCATCTCCATCAGTCTTTCAAAAGTAGCCGGAGCGTTACATAGTCCAAAAAGCATTACAGTAAATTGATACAAGCCACTGCCGGCAGAAAAAGCGGTCTTTTCCTTATTTTCTGGATGGATACCAATTTGCCAGTAGCCGCTTTTTAGGTCTAACGTGAAAAACCAGGCGGATTCTGATAGTGTTGTGAGCGTGTCATCAATTCGTGGAAGCGGGTAACTGTCCTTCTTGGTTACATCGTTTAGTTTCCTGTAGTCTACGCAGAATCTCGTCGACCCATCTGTTTTAGTGACTAGCACTACTGGCGAAGACCACGGACTATTTGATTCCTCTATAACGTCGGCATCCAGCATTTTCCGTACAAGTTTCTCTGCCTCTTCTTGTTTTGCCAAAGGTTGGTAGTCTTCGCGGAGCTTGACGGATCGGTCGTGCATCTCCAGTGTTTATCCGATGTCGCACTAAGTTTGTGGGCCCAGCAGCCCCGTAGCTACGGGGGGGCAAGAGGGGGCTGAGCCCCCCCTAGCAGTTGTGGTTGCCCCCCCTGGAAGACTTATACATTATAAATTTCAAATTAGTAATAAAATTTCAATATAATGCCGATTGCCGAAGCATATTAACTGGCCCCACCCGCCCCACCTTTATTTTCGTACAGGGTATATTATTTGGCAATATCACCTTACCGTTGATGTTGACCGTATAAAAAAATGAACATGTCACATTTTATTCCATAGCCTACTATGTAGGTACTTGAGAAAAGTCAAAAATATTATATGGATTTTCTAAAAATTGAGCTTTTATTGAAATGGATAAAAAATCGACAAAAAATTCTGAGATGTAGATCTCGATGAGCTTAATCAAAAAACATAAGGTCTTGATGGTCCCAGTTACCAAGATTTTTCAAAAATTCGGTTCCAAAGTCGACATTTCAAAATTTCTCAAAAATTACATTTCTTTTGGCGGCTCTGGAAAAATTGTACGAATTTTCGAAAAAATAAAACCAAAAAAAAAACATTTGGAGATCGAAATCAATAAAAAGATCCCTTCTGCTAGTTTTCGAAAATACGTGGGAAAAGTCAAATTTTTTTTATAGATTTTCAAAAATTGAGCTTTTGTTGAAATTG